CCGGGGGCGGCGGCGCGGCCCCCCCGCGCCCGCCCCCGCCTGGTCTTTCACACGCAGCTGGCCCACGGCAGCCCCACGGGCCGCATCGAGGGCTTCACCAACGTCAGGGAGCTCTACGCCAAAATCGCCGAGGTCTTCGGCATCTCGCCCACCGAGGTGAGGGGCTGCCGGGGAGGGGGCCCTGCTCTGCGTTGCCTCTGCCACCCTGCGCCTCAACGCCGGCCCTGTGGCACCAACCGTGTCCTGGCCCCGCTGTGTGTCCCCGAATGTGCTCCCTAAAGGCACCTTGAGGGGCGTTCGCTCCCCTGCAGCGGGTTCGGGCTGCTCGTGCCTCACTTTCCCCGCCCTGTGCAGCCGCGAGCTGGCAAAGGGATCGCGGGTGATGCTGAGGGCTCCTCCAGCCCAGAGCTGCGGACTGGGCGCTGGGGCCGCGCATAGGTGTCCCCCCGCACGGTGTCCCTAGCGCCGGGCTGGCAATGACGGGGCTGCCTGGGGCAGATCCTCTTCTGCACGCTCAACACGCACAAAGTGGACATGCAGAAGCTGCTGGGGGGGCAGATCGGCCTCGAGGACTTCATCTTCGCCCACGTGCGCGGCGAGACCAAGGAGGTGGAGGTGACAAAGACGGAGGATGCACTGGGACTCACCATCACGGACAATGGCGCTGGCTATGCCTTCATCAAGGTGAGGGCCGCAGGGACATGGGGACACCCAGGACACATGCGGGGCGGGAGCCCATCCTGCCACCACTGGTGGTTCCAGACCCTTGCCCTGCTGCACAGCCCCCTGTCACCCTAGCCGAAACTGTGGCCCTTCTTGCACTGTGGAGGAGGAGGAGGAGGAGGAAGTGGTTGCTGTGCTTGGGGGGGGCTCCCCCCTTCCTTCCACCTCCAAACCCCTCACCCCAGGGGTGGAAGCTGGTCTGGATGTGCCTGACCAGCAGCTCCCAGCCTCACCTGCTTGAGATGGTGCTGGGAAAACTGGACCACGGAGGTGTCCGCGTGTGGCACAGGGTGAGGGCTGCACCTGTCCACCCTTCCCATGGGGAGCTCTATGTGATCCCCCCCACCGGTGTGACCGTGTCCCTGCTGTCCCCAGCGCATCAAGGAGGGGAGCATCATCAACCGCATCGAGACGGTGTGCGTGGGCGACAGCATTGAGGCCATCAACGACCAGACCATCGTGGGCTGCCGCCATTATGAGGTGGCCCGAATGCTGCGCGAGCTGCCCCGTGCGCAGCCCTTCACCCTCCGCCTGGTGCAGCCCAAAAAGGCCTTTGGTGAGTAGCAGCGCTGGCTCCATGTCACCCCGGCCACGTGTCACCCCTGGGTGCCACCACTTTCACCCCGGGGCTGGAGGGCGCTGGGATCCTGATGCTGCCCCCAGCAATGAATGGGTGCTGTGAGCTCATCCCTAGGACTGAGCATCCCCATCACTCCCCAGCGCGCCATCCCTGCACCTCTGTGCACCTCCACCCTGCACCCATGGGTGTCCCTTGCGCCTGCCTTTCCCTTGAGCCACCCTCTTTGCACGTGGTGTCCTCTCTCTTTGCATGTGAGGTCCCCGTGTCCCTTGGACCTCCCTGCTCTGGGCCCCGGGTTGCTGTGTCCTGGGCGTGGGTGGTGACGCGGGGCGGGTGGGTGGACGCCCAACCTGCACCCTCATCACCCCATCCCTGTCCCCGCCGGGGCGCAGACATGAGCGGGCAGGGGACGCGGACCAGCAAGTGCGCGGCCGAGGGCCGGGTGGCCAGCGGGAAGGAGACGCTGCGTCTGCGGGCGACGAGCGCTGCCACCCTCGAGGAGGGGGTAAGGGACACCGGGGCCGCCCGTCCCGCACCCCCTGAGGGTGGGTGGGACACAGTCCCCTGGACCATCCCTGCATCCGCCACGGAGTGCCGAGCATGTTCCAAGGGCAGAGCCAGGCATCCCCGTCCCGCTCGGGATGCGGCTCTACCCCGAAGCCCCGGGTGCCCCGTGGGGCTGACAGTGCCTCTCGCCCGCAGCCCAGCGCCGCGGAGGAGACGGCCGCCCGGCGTGTGGATGACCTGCTCGAGAGCTACATGGGCATCCGCGACGGCGAGTTGGGTGAGCGTGTGGGGACCAACGGGTGGCAACCCCTTGGTGGCAGCTGCCCGCTGAGCCCCGCTGTCCCCGCAGCCTCGAGCATGGTGGAGACGGCGAGGGGCGTGGGCAGCGCTGCAGCGCTGGCCACCGGGCTGGCCACGCTGCTGGGCGACTTCGCCTTCCCTGAGGAGTTCGTGGCCCAGCTGTGGGCGGCCGCGGGGCGCCCCGAGTAGCGGGGGGCAGCCGCACTGTCCCCCCGCCCCGTGCCAGTGCCGTCCCCTCCTCGCCCTCGGGAACAGCCGCGGGCCCGGGGGGGGTCCTTGCACGCCCCAGGCTTGGCTGATGCCAGGCACCGCACTGGGCACCGCGCGCAGCAACTCATTAAAGCGCAGAGCAGACACAGAGAGTCATTCCTTGGGTGCGCGGACCGACACGGACCCCCCAGCAAACTGGCTCCCATGGCAGCACAAGCAGCTTTTTATTGCAGGGGCTCCTAGACGGCGGCTGGGAGCATCTCGGTGACACCCACCAACCCCCACAGTGCCAGCAGGCCCTGGCACCCTCCCATCCCACCCAGCTCCCTGAGAGCCGCTAAGGTGAGGGGGCAGTGAAGGGCACAGCCCTGGGTGCACCTTGTACCAATTCAATAACCACCCCCATCTTTGGCATTGCAGTCCTGGGCACCAGGGTGATGCCACCCCTTGGGGACAGGGACACCGGTTGTGCCTGAGCTGAGGGAGTCCCATTTTGCCTCCCACGTCCCAGCTGTGGCTGGTCCCCCCAACCCACTCCTTAGAGCTGCCCTGGCCGGGGTCTGGGCGCCCGGGCGCTACTGCAGCACCGACTCCTGTGTGAGCTTGCGGCGCAGCGAGGGGTTGAGCGCGGGGTAGAGGGAGACGATGGAGGGGCGTGCGCGCAGGCTGGGGTAGACGCGTCGCAGCACGGCCCGTCGGAACAGGATGTACACCCAGGGGTCCAGGATCTGGTTCCATGTGACCATGCGGATGTAAATGAGCAGCAGCTGCTGCGTCTCCGTGGGCAGCATCAGGAGCCGCTCGGGCGCCCACAGCTGCTGCAGGACCGTCTGGATGATGAAGATCTGCAGAGAGGGGACAGGGGATCAGCAGGGCCTTGAGGAGGCACCACAGCCAGGGCTGCCCAGCACCCTTGGAGATGGGAGCCCAGTGGGGCTGGGCCCAGCTTGGAGGCTCCTAGATGTCCCCAAACCTCCCTGCTTCCCTCCCCCCATTTGGAGGGTTGAGCCCCACTGGGGCTGTCACCTGTGGGCAGGGGGGCAGTGAGGGTGCGGGGGGCCTCACCAGGAGGGGCATCCAGCAGATGGTGGCGATGATCATGATGCCCACGAGCTGCACCATCATCTCCACCTCGCTGTCACGGCGCCGCTGCACGGACTCGCGGTCGTGGTAGACGCGGCAGAGCGTCACCACGCTCACCGTGTTGAACACGAAGGAGAGCAGCACCGAGAAGACGCCGAGCAGGGCGAAGAGCAGGCAGAAGACAATGTTGCCCGTGTCAGGCAGGAGCGTGAGGAAGCACCAGGAGCCGGGGAACTGCAGCGTGTAGCGGCCCATCCCCAGCACGGGCAGCAACCCCAGCAGGCAGCAGAAGGCCCACACGGTGCCCACAATGGCCCACGCGCGGCGCTTGGACACACTGCTGGAGCGCGAGAAGGGCCGGTTGATGCCCACAAATCTCTCGCCGGCCATGGTGGCCCCCAGCAGCAGCGGGCACTGCCCGAAGAAGACCATGGAGAAGCCCAGGAAGTTGCAGAGGTGGCAGCCGGCGTCCACCTCGGCCCAGTTGAACTTGATGAAGTGGTAGGGGATGATGACGGAGGCCGTCACCAGCAGCCCCATGAAGTCCGTGACCACGAGACCACAGAGGA